TATTCGCCGAATGGCAAACCCACCCCCCCCACCTCCCCAGCCAACTGCTTTCTCTTTTGGGGGCGAGAGTCTACAGGGTCCCCACCCCTCTGGGAGAAAAATAATTCCTCCTCTCCTTCATCTTCAACGAGAGACCCCCTCGTTCCGAAACTGTACACCTTCCCTCCGCTCCCCCCCAACCCAACCTCCACCGTCTATCGTTCTAGATTCCTTCCCCCCTCCCCACCAAACACGACGGGGTTGGGGAATGGGAGGGGGGGGTGCGGTGGGGGAGAGAGAGAGAGACAGAGGGGGCAGTGAAACCACCCATCCCTGTTCATCTCTCTCCCTGTCTGAAACCCGGAATTAATCAGGATGGGAGCCGTGAGACTGAGCTAGTCAACAAACTCGCTCCGTGAGGGGTGATCTCCCCCTGCCCCCCGGGCTTTCATGTCGACCTCAGCCTGGCCCTCCCCCACCTCTCCTCGTAAGAACATCGAACAGTACAGGCCCTTCGGCCCACGATGTTGTGCCAAACTTTTACCCGAAACCTAAGGCCTACCTAACCCCTACTATCATCCATAAGAGGACCCCACTTCCTGGAAGCGGGAACTGCCTCCAGAGGTGGAGTCTATCCCCCCTTCGTTGAGGAGGCCACGAATGGGACAAGGCTGTCCAAATGTGGTATCGCTCCCCCCGCCCCCGTTCCCTGCTGCCTTTGCTTATCGAGGTTCACCGACTCGGTCTCCCAGATCCCAACGCGCCGCCCGCACAGAAACGAATGCCAGGGCTTACCGTAAACCCAAGCCACCACCACACATTCCCAGAACGCTTGCCACAGCAACGTCATCCCGCTGGCAGAGTAATAGTCAAAAATCTGGAAGATGTACATCCCGCCCTGCGTGGGAGGGGGGTTGATGGGAAGGTCAGCTGGATGCCAATCTGTGCGGTCAACCTTTCATCCCACCCCTCCTCTGCGCCCCATTTCCCTGAACGTCTCCCCACGCCGCGCCCCCACCCAAACAAATTTGCCCCCGAGCAGATCGTCCCACCCGATTCGCTGCCGAGCAGGAAGCTCAAGCTTCTCTCTCCCCTTTGACCTTTGACGCCTCCCCGACCCAGTCAGCACCCTCATCGCGGTGGGGAGGGGGCGGGGTGGGGGCTGAGAGGAAGCGGCCGGGGGCTTGGGTGAGGTGCGGGGGGGAGGGGAGGTGGGAAGAAGGGTGGAGGCCCGGCAGAGAATGCGGGGCCTCACGAGAAACAGGAAAGAAGGCCGTTCCCTCCCTAGTGTGGTCCCCGGGCCATTGGCGTGAGAGGGCGGCCATTTTGGAAGGGGGGAGGCGTTGGCGTCGCCAACGCCAGAGGCTCAGGCGCCATGTGATCTGAAGACGGAAATGTTCGAAGACTCCCCACCCCCCCACCTCCTCCTCCCCTCTCCATTCGATAGTGGAACCTCACCGTGAAAGACTCTGCGCCCTGCGTGCGCACACACTGCTGCGCCTCTGCCTGCTCTTTCTTTGTGGCTTGACGGCATCGTGACCAAACGAGCCCGCACGCTGAACCGCCGACAAAGCAACTGGCTAATTCTGCCCGCGCCCCCACCCCACCCCCCGCCGCAGCGTTCCTCTGTGGAGGAAGCGGGCTGGGGCCTATCGCTAAGACTTGAGGGGCAGGAGGACAGACGCGGGAAAGGGGAAAGGGTCGGGAAGGAGGTGAGGGAAGGCGCCCAAGCCGGAGGGGTCAGGGGTCGAAAGACGGAGCGCGGCCTTGCACGGGGAGGCTCGGGGAATGGGCTGCTCACCTGCGTCACCATGGAGAGGTCGATGATGAAACTGAGGACGATGCACACGGCCACGGCCAACTCCCTCTGGTACTGGAAGTTGTATCTCTCTGGGATGAGGTCCACGAGGCCTGTTACGAACCCCTCGACTCCGACGAACTTCAGCAGAGAACAGGGGCTCGCGTCAATGTCACGTTTGCTTCCCAAAGGCGTGTACTGCCTCCCCGACAGCTCCCTATCCCTCCGACGCCCTCTTTCCCCACCTCCGCCCGCCCCCCCGGCTCTCAAGGCGTCGCTTTTGAAGGCCTCGCTTTTGAAGTTAGGCTCGGGAGTTGGGCCTGGAAAGCCGATTGGTTTCTGCCTCCCCGATTCCGTGCCTCATTTTTATGGCAGGTCGGAAACGTTTCGTCAGACCCCCCCCCCCCCCCCCCCCCCCGCACCCTCCATCCCTGTTTACCCCGGCCCGCAGCAACCCAACTGGGGGAAAAATTTAGGCCTGGCGATGTATGTAGGCCTCACGGCTCCCTCCAACCCAGTGTGGCCAATCCCAGGTTAAGGCCTAGCCCCTTCCTCATTGCTGCGTAAACCTCCACTCTCCTAATACAGGTGCCCAACTAATCCCCACCCCACCAACAACCCAACCACACGTCAAAGCCTCTACTTAGGCCTTACCTGGCTCCCCAGGCCCAGCAGCAGCAGCATGATGAAGAAGAGGGCAGCCCACAACTGAGGGATGGGCATGAGGGTCACGGCCTTTGGGTAGGCGATGAATGCCAAACCGGGGCCTGTTGGGGGGAGGGCAAAGCAAATGGTGAAAGAGGCAGCATCAGGGCAGATCCAGGGACTCCCCCCCAACTCCGGGGAGAGGTTTAAAGAAAAGGGGGGGCCCTGGCAGAAAACAGACTCTCGAGCGAACTCCGCAACAACAAGAAAAACCCCTGACCGATGTCAGAGGGCACCACCGAACGCCAATGTCAACATGGACACCGCCAACAAAAATCCCTGGAAAATCTTTTCTCACGCCGGCAACTCCTAAATTTACAAACGGGAGGGGCGCAGATCGCCCGCGGGGTCTTATTTGGAGGTTGTAAGGCGACCGAAAGTGGCCACGTAACCGTGGAGACCGAGCCTCGCTCAGCTCACAGGATGCGCAGGCCCAGACTAGGCCTGGGAAGGCAACGACAGGCCTGGGGCCTTCGAGCTGACATCTGGGCGAGCGTCTCTCTCTCTCTCTCTCTCTCTCGACGGAAAACGGCCAAGTGTTTGGGCCTAGCCACGTAGGCCTCGCGGCCTGGGCCCTGTCACAAATCGGGTCGGGCCCTTCTCTGACTCCAGTGAGAAGTTTGCATCGAAACGAAAACCGACAAATGTCGAGGGAACGCGCTCGGGTTAGTTTGCCGTCAGTGGGCACGCAACGTTCAGCCCCCTTCCTCGTCGAGCCTGTTACACAGGAACAGGAGGCCATTCAGCCCCCCTCCCCTCCTCCTCCTCCAGCCTGTTGTGCAAGGAACCGGAGGAAATCGTCTCCGTCACGGCAACGGTTGTTAAGGTGATGCGTCCACTGACCTGACTCAGCCACGTCCGAGATATGGACGCCCCGTTCCTGAGCCATAAATCCCAAGATGGAGAAGACAACGAAGCCGGCAAAGAAACTAGTCCCACTGTTCACCAACGCCAAGATATAGGCATCCCTGAGAGAGAATCAGCACGGGGTCAGATACAGAGTAAAGCTCCCTCTACACTGTCCCCCCCATCAAACACTCCCAGGGACAGCATGGGGTTAGATACAGAGTAAAGCTCCCTCTACACCGTCCCCCCCCCATCAAACACTCCCCAGGGACAGGGGGTCAGATACAGAGTAAAGCTCCCTCTACACTGTCCCCCCCATCAAACACTCCCAGGGACAGCATGGGGTTAGATACAGAGTAAAGCTCCCTCTACACCGTCCCCCCCCC